CTATTGCCACACACAGCACCACCAGCGCAATACCAACATCCCATCCTAGAAACAATCTGCCTCATATATTTTGGGACACCTCGATCTTGTCCAACATGCCTTTCACATACCACAAGGGTATCGGCGGTCGTCGCTTCGGCACAAGCGTCTCGGCCAACCGGCACGGCGTTCACAGAGGTCCCTGGCGGTTCAGCTTCGGCAAGTTCAGCTGCTTCCGATAGAGGTCGCAGATGCCACAGCCGACGACATGCTGTGAGGACCTACCGACACCAATTTGGTGAACACTTCGCACGAACACGCCTGAGGAGGAACAACAACGCTACATATCTACAATTTATCTGATCTTCACCTAGGCGGTGCGGCTCAATGACAGGCGATCAGCTTTGCCGCTGATCAAGGAGTTCCAGCCATCCCCTCCTCGGACGAGAAACTCGATCCCTGCAACAACTACACTTTGGTCTCGGGTCGACTCGTCACCTCGGCCGCGGCGAAGAGCTGCCAGCACTGCCCACGGGAGCTACACCACTTTCCTGTATTTTCATCACTGCAACGACTTTACGAAATTCGAAATAGCGCGTAGTGGGAACAGAATCTCCAACATAAACATTAATCAATACTATGAACTCCACAGCTGCTGATCGTGAGGAGACTTGTGAACCTATCCTGGCTTTCGAACAGCATTGATTCTCGTGGTTCGACACCGTGCGTCGTTCAAAGACCTAATGTGTTATCATCGTCGGCTAGTTCGGTGATGAAAGGATATGGTGTAGGACTGCCAGCTCGTCGGCCAAATCCTCGCATCGTGCCACAGCCACGTGGTTATGCTCCCATGTACACACCAACAGTTTGTGGAACATGCCCGACCTATGTTTGTTTGAGCTCGTCGCGACATTCATGTGACTGTATAGGTCCCTACACTATATATACTGGTGATGCTGAACTTGTCGTGCGAGCTAAGACTGAGTCGTGCTGGCCAGGAAGCCATCAATCCGTTGCCAGGAGGTGGCTCTTGCCTTCTTTGCGAATGATGTCTTGAACAGTGTCGAGCACAAGGCTGTGCAGTTGAGCTGGGGCAGCCACGAAGCCATGGTTGCCCGTCATCTTGCGGCCGGCCGTAAGGTCGATGGGCCTTCCATCGACGTCGGTGATCTTCCCACCAAGCTCTTCAAACAGCATCATCGCCCCAGCGTGATCCCAGACCTTACCGTGGCGGTCGCGGCGCTTGTAGACCCAGACAGTGACGTTGGCGAGGCCGAGCGCAAGCGTGACCCAGCGCGGCACCCAGCCAAGGAGGTCGCAGCCCGGCAAGGGGATGTCCAGGGATTGCATGACGGCCTTGTGCACATCTTCCACGCCCGAATCGAGGAGATTAAAGCATGAGACGGATCGTAATGTGTCTCGCGTGGCAGCCGTGGCGTGTGGTTCAAGTCTACGGGGCGGGGGCTGGGGCTCGGCACCGGTGCCTTGTTTAAGAAGAGGAGTAACGTATACACCATGGCCCCTAGCTCCGAATATGAGCAGGCCCTGGTTTGTAGGGTCGACAGTAGCATTGTGTACGGGGCCGGGGCTGGAGACAGGCAGCGTCGGACAGCCGATAACACTGAGGACCTGCTCGCCATCGACGAGAAGAGCTGTGTTAATGGCATAGGCTTCGCCTCGGCTGCACAAGGACAGGTAGAAACACGCGGCTTGGTCAGCTTTCGAGGACGCTCCAGAAGAGGTTGGTCATTTTAGAGCGACCGACGTACACGAAAGTCTGGGTGCCGTCGATAGGGTCGAAGACCCAGACGCGCCCGGCTCCTGGCTCACCAGGTGTGCCGTTGCCGCACAGATCGATGAGGTCGCACATGTGCTGAGGGTTGCGAGGTAGCGTGATGGGATCAGACGACGGTGGTGGCGAGCTGGCTGCGGTGCCGAGCAGATCCCAGACGCGGGCGAGAAGAGCGGGATTGGCACGCAGGTCGTCGGCCGACTCCTCGCCGACAAAGCCATCGCTAGGGAAGCGGGCGTGGATTGAGGCACACAGGAGGCCCTGGATGGCAAAGTCGGCGACGGTGACGGGGCTAAGGTCGTCCTTGGCCACGACGCCCTTGTCGGCACTGCGCAGGAGCGACTGGCTGAGGCCGGCCGCAGCCCGCACAACCGCCTGCACCAGCTCGAACTCGTCACGGTAGGGGCTGTCCATGGCTGGCTGTATGTGCTGTCTGCAGTTGGCTAGAGTGGTGGTGGTGGAAGACGACGACCTGCAGGGCGGTGACAGGGACGGGGACGGCACAGCAAAAGCCGGGGCGGGGTCACGCCGGCGGCCGGCATCCGGAGCCCCGCCACCCGGGCTTCGGACTTCGACATCTGGACTGGTTGTGCTGATATCTACGGTGCGCGTGCCGTCCTCAAAGTTGGCCATGACTTGTACATTTCCACTTTAGGGTGTGCTATTTCACGATCTGGCGATCGTCTGTGCCAAGGCGCCCATGCCATGCATCCCGTTTCTACACCCTGCAAGCTTGCCCAGCCACCCAGCTCCGTTCCGTGGCTTCCATCAGGTCAGATCTCGTGCATCTGCTGCAGGCTGCACCTTCGGCCTTTTACGTCACTTAGGCCCGAGATGCCCATCTCTCGTACTCGTACGAAGCGAGCATGAAAGGACCCGTGCCCTTGTAGTCGTTCTTCACGATCGGCACCCCAATGTAGTACTGGCCAGGGCTGTCAGCACGTCGTCTCGTTCACGCTCTTTTGCCTTCCACGGTCAGACGACCGCAGATCGCATCTACTCACCTCGTAGCTGCCGTTGCTGCTCAGAGAGCCGACAGCAATGGTGCCCTCCCAGTTGATGGTCCCGTTCTGGTTGGTGCTCACGAAGCGGTCCGTCAGCAAGCCGTAGGCTTTCTTGGCTGGCTTGAGGTACGTGCGGCGGTCGATCAGGCCGAGGTCTATGCCCTTGAGCATGCCATACGTGAACATGGCCGAGGCACTGCTTTCAATGTAGTTGCCCTTGCGGCCGGGATAGCCCTCATTCACTACCCGCAGCATTCATGGTCAGCACTAAATACAGCCTGGCCACCAGCCTAGCGGCATGGAAGTGCTTACTGATGAGCCACCATCCTCCAGTCTTGTCTTGCGCCCGGAGCAGACCATCCGAGAGCGTCTTGTAGTAGTTTACAAGCTTCCCGTAGCCTGCGTGTGCCTTGGGGAAGAGCTGGAGCACCTCGATGAGCGAGATGTAGTCTACACATACTGGTCAGCCTGAGGTCTCGCTGACCTTCTTTGCGCAAAAGCTCGTCGTCCGGCAATACAACTCAGCGTCTCCGTCATTTCTAACTTACTACACCGCCACCGCCACCAAAGTCAGCAGTCGTACATCGGGAGAACAATGGCAGGCGGGAGGAAAGAAACTTACCACCATCCGACAGCGCGAGACCAGACAAGAGGGGCAGCACCGGTGATAGGGTCGGCCCAAACGGCAACCTTGCTCTCGTCATAGCCGTGGACCAGCAGGTTTGAGGTCTTGTTGCGCGTGGCCTTCTCGATGTTGTCGTACTGCAGCAGAATATCATCCCACGCGGTCGTGTTGTCGTTGTCAAAGTAGTTGGTCCACGTGGCGTAGAAGCTGTCGACCATGAAGATACCGTCGAGCCACATCTGATTGGGGTAGGCTGGCTTGCGGTGCCAGAAGCCACCGGTGGGCGTGCGAGGGTGGCGGTTGATCTGCTCTCGGATGGTCTCGGCAGCGACGCGGTACTTATCCTCACCGGTCCTCTTGTACCACCACAGAAAGTTGTTGGCGATGCGGTAGTCGTCGAGGGAGTAGTGGGTCAGATTCCACTTCCTGATAGTGCCGTCCTCGAGCACGACTTTGCCGTCGATTTGGTTCCTATACCAGGAAACCAGGGACTCGTCGCCGGTCAGGGCGATGGCAGCCTCGAAACCCTCGGCCAAGACCGCCTCGCTGTAGTGGAACGTGCCGGGGACACCGTAGCTGACGTACGACTTGGCCATTTTCGTCAGGTACGAGGTACGAGGGCGAGGATCAGAGCCAGGGGCCGCCATGGACGTGAAGACCGTGGCTGCCGCGATGAGGAGGTGCTTGAGAGCCATGGCGCGTGGCTGGGTAGAATATCTGAAGCCGAAGAAGCGGCGAATTGATGGAGGGGGAACGGCTTCTTCTCGACGAGAGAGTGTCTGAGATAAACCTGGCTGGCCACAGACTCGAACAAGAATGTGAGCTGGCGGGGAATCCAGGCTTTATATATGCATGGAAGGGAGCCTCTCCCGACGCCTGGGTTATCGTCGTGGTCGTCAACGACCAGGACTGCGGCTCCACCGTGCTTGGTGTTGGCTGCATGTTTGATTTGCCCTTCCGCGGCCTTGCTGAAGAAGGCAAGTACTTAGAAGCCCCCGGCCTATAGGGGTCGAGCTGCAGCACAGGGATGACGAACAGTTGGGGCGGCCGGGGCACGATCCGCCACTGCAACGGTCTGCCGATGGAGCCCAGCTTGGCCTGCAGGCCAAGCGTCACGCCCATAGGCGGCAAAACCCCTGCGATGCCCGTCTTGCGTCTATCTTTCTCGCAACGCAATTTGCCGTCTTGGCTCGGGTGTCCATGATCTCCTCCAGCGGCCGAGCAGTCGTCGACAGTGCCGGGACTCATGGAGCTCTTGGGCCAAGCCTTTCAATGGGCAATGGACACGCGCTCAGCGACGTCAAAAGCGGAAGATCTGAGAGTCTCCCTGATAGTGACATCCTTCCGGGTATCGCATCCTGCGAAGATTTGGCTGATGTATATGCTTCGGAGGGCGCGACCGGATAGACAGTGTTGACTTCACTGCGATCGGCTTAGGCCCGTCGAGGCCAAGAACATGAAGCCCGACGTAACTGTGTATCTTGTTCTGTTGTCGTGAGTTATGACAGAGCCAATCCCTCGTAAAATCGAGATGCGGACGGAAGGCGTGGCGTCACTGCTATAGAGTAGCAAATAACAGACACCCCAGTCAACTAACAATGTCCGCGTGGCGCAATGGTAGCGCGTTGGACTTCTATTCCTGTGCATCCCCACGGATAGGAGCCATCCAAAGGCTGTGGGTTCGAGCCCCACCGTGGATGCTTTTTTGTCTTCTTTTTTTTCTTCCTTTTTTTTCCTTCATTTCTATCATTATCAAAACCTCTTGGCTGGTCGGTCTCTTTTTTTTTGTTCTTATGTATACGGGCAGTCACTACCCCTGGCTCTTCTTCTTTCTTCCCCTTTAATGACTATTCGATATATATTATATCCTAACTCTAGTGTAGTAGTAATGTTACTGCTACAATTGGGAAGAAGCCTGTATAGGTTTAGTAAGTCTTTTTTTATAAGGTAGTAGAGATAAGAACGAAGAAAACTGCTTTATGTAAGAAGCATCTATTCTATTGTAGTTGAAATTTGCTCAAAAGAGCCGCGTTTCAGAGAGGTAGTAAGGTGTGATTATATAAGAGATACATATACCCTTAGGACTGTTGACAAAGGGGCTGAAGCATAACAACGCGAGCATTGCATTACCTGATCCAAGATCTGTAAACTATCGTTTCTAAGCTTACTATTGAGAAGTCCTAACAAGAGTGATGCTCTCAAGGAGTCTCTATAAGTAATGGTATCATTAACAAGGCTGATATAAAATTAAGTACACTATAAATTTATCTACTAACTTGAAAACGCTAAAGTGTCAGTCTTTTTGGTAACTAGTTACAAGTCGGAAGTCTTTATTTCAGATAGCTGTTCTTACTATAATCTTTCGAAAAAGCTTTTTATTTTTAAATATTTTTCTTCAAGGAACGCTCGATTAAGTCCATATAAACAACAGCTATACATACACAACACTGGTCTCCGAGAGTAGTAGCCTCTTAGTGAAATTAGATAGGAAAAAGCTTATATCGTTGATTCAGCTACCCTATATAATAGGAAAGACCATATCATACTCTCCAAAAGCTTGCTACATAATCGGAAACCTTCACACATCTAATACTTACTGACTCTGTATTGCAGTATGGGAGTACTTACTAACCCCCAACCACTAGTATCTATATAAGAACTTAGTATATAAGAACTTAGTTCCGTCTACTCTTTCCTAGTATCGTACAATATATTAATGACTAAACAAATAATATCCTGATTATTTTAGCATATCTCGTTATAGACTTCCGTACCATGTTTAAACTAATACAGAACAAGGCTTTATCCTTTTCGCATCCATAGACTGTCATGGAAGAAACGAATATCCATGCATCTCTATTGTCTCATCTCGACCTGGCCCCTCCGTAGTAGCAAGGAGTTTACTCGTCCAAATATAGCTGCGGAAGGTGACTAAGAGGACTTCATAAATTCCACTAAGGACTACGATAAATCGGCTAGGGTGAAACAACGTTATACACTTGCCACTCTACTATAGATATCTTACATACGTTATGAACATATCTACCGAAGGTAGACCATAGAAATGAGAACTGAGAGTTTATTTCGAGCGGTATTACAGATTTCGTAGATACTAACAACTTTAGTCTGGAGTTTAAGGACTGAGCATAATGTTAAGTAATCATCTATCGCTCAATACAATGTCCTTCTTCAGGTACATTAATACTAATCTCTATTTCCGATTCTTTAATACTAGAAACTACTCATGCTCCTAATTTCTTCACCCACCTTCTCGGTATAGTTTTGAGCTATATACTACTATTGCAACTTTGGAAAATCCCTTCCATGCTAAAGATAGAATATTATTATACACTATGTCTCGACTTGAACGGTATGTTATTAAATACCCTAGCCCCGCTTGTAAGAAGTACCGACAGTATATACAATACCAGTCTTTTTTCAAAGAGTCTATCTCATTTCAACATCTCCGTAGTAACCACAATGCTTTAACCTTATAACTCTAGTATAACTATTATTATTATTATTAATAGTACGCTGTACCATCTAGTGGTTTAGCGAGCCTATAAATCTATCGTGTAATAAACCGTGCCTGAAAGCTGGACTAAAAATACATGCTACTCCTCTAGTGCGCTAGAGCAGCGCCTTCGTATTAGATATTCTGCGCGTGCAGAAGTTAGTCCTTACCGACTAACCTTGTCAAAGAAAGAAAGAAAGAAAGCATACTATAGGAGAGGGTGTCTAAGTAGGTGGATAGCCTGTAGGTCTAGTACCGTTGACTAGGGAAGGCGTAGGTTATATAGCGCCGAGTTGTCGCATCTCCAGCGCTGCGTGGGCTCGGTCGCGCCTTCGGTTGTCCCCTCGTGTCTTCGCTATGTGTGTGGTTGGGCTTGAGGTTGAGCGAGTCCTCATGTCTCTCCGGTTGGTCTATCGGTCGTAGTTCGCTGAGTTCGCGCTACTCTGTAGCTACGCTGCTTATATAGTATGTGCGCGGCTAGCGATAGCGCTAATAGTGATAGCAGTTCCTCCGAGTAACCGGGGCAACAATAACTATTGCGCGTTCCTACTTCTCGACGGCGGCTTCGTCGTCGTTCTTGCTGTTCCTCCCTTCCTTATACATCATTAAGAATACGTAAGTGCCCCCGTGCTCCCACGTCGTCGTCGCGCGGTAGCGGCGCTGCGTAATAGCAGTTATCTGACTATTTGTATCTAGAAATAGCAGTAGCAGCAATAGCAGCAACAACAACAACAGCAGCAGTAGTAAGTTGGCGGTCCTGGCCTCCTTACGGGCTCCTTACTAACTTCTTCGAGTGTCCTCAAAGCGTTCGGTGTCCCCGGGCTCTGCGCTGCCTGGTGCTTCTCCGAAGCGCCAGCGCGGCGCATCCCTTGCGCCCCCAAGCTCGCCTCTGGCCGAGCTCGCCGCCGCCGCCGCCGATAGCATAACTATGATTATTACAAATCAAGATCCAATTGATAGGAGGGAGTAGTAATACCAAGGTTCAAGATTACATACATTCCCTTCGTGGATTACTGAGAGTGTACTATGCTACCTCATACTAGCTATACTATATATAATTATATGACTATATAGATCTGTCACAAGTGATGCTATGGTATTATCACTGATATAACTTAAACGCTTCTTAGAGCTTTACTAGAGCTTAAGAGAGATAATCAATTGGGTATGTTAGGTGTACCCAAAGTACTATGGAAGTTGAACGAAGACTAGTCCGATCGATAATTATACAAGTAACAATTATATTTTCGGCTTAAAGCAAACTCTCTCACATATTGTAATATTGCAAGCTATCATGTAACTACTCGATTACACCGAGTCTGTTCTTCTCCTACGTAGAAATCCGGGAAGAATTTTAGTTCTTTTTCTAGGCTGGGAGAGGTGCCTCTACAATGTATTCTTGATGTTCCAGAACCACGCTAGGTCTAACAGACGAACTCTTGAAGTTAGAAGGAGAGACAGGGGACTGGGTCTAAACTACTCTCCCTCTGTCTCACAGCGCCCTAGGGGAGAAAATAGGAGACTTACATTATTCTGTGGGCCCTCGTGACTCTTTATATACTAGTACATGATTGCAGTAAAATAGAGCTCTGAGTAGTAGATATCTACCTATTTTAGTGCGGAGAATTCTCTGTGATATAGCTAAACTACAATGGCGTCGTATGATTAGTATATATGACATGTTTATGTGTTCTTCAGCACTCGGCGAGAACAGACAGGACTAAGAACCCAGCCTTTCAGCATAATTTAAGGTGTTACTTATGTCTAGTTCTTGTACGAAAGTAGGCAGCTATGTTCCATGTTTGATTCGAAATAGGTAGAGTACTCAAAAGTGCAGTACACTGTATCTTTAAAGAATAAGTATAAGTTGAAGCTTAATCTATGTGGGTAGATAATGGAAGTGAGCAATACTTATTGGCAGTTTTCGATAATGTTGAGACTTGTAAAGGAACTCCGGATTGATAGCACTACTTACATAAACTTCAAATGTGACAGCCCCAAGGAGGTCGTGTTCTATCCATGAGAAGAAGAGATCTAATTCAATATATTGATTATCGGAGTAATCCATATCATGTAAAGTGTGGGTACTGTCCTTGGAGTTTATGTGTATCTGTACAAAGATGTATCTCCAGATAAGGTATATATATTAACAGTCTTATTATCCTTTACGTGTATTGAAAATATGAGAAGATGATTCTTTCATCTTCAATGTTTCCTCTTCGGCTCATGAAAGAGTCCTTCCATTGTAGTGCCTAGTAAGCGCCTACAACTAGCTCGTTTCACGCAGAAGCTAGAACAGGTTGCCACCAAGTTCTTCACTTCCAGCTCTAGTGTACCACTTCACTTTGTTCTTTTTATAATCTTACGGTATTCAAGTGAGAAGCTCATCTGAGATACGAACGATGATTATGTTGGAAAACACTAAGTGCCATCTACTGAATGGCTCGAGATTATGGAGAAACGGACCCCAGTATCCAAATAAACGGGCACTGCCTATGCTGAATAGGTATAGAGTATAGGGGCAAAAATTGCTTATTTTGAGCTGGAGGTGCGATCTGGTTAAGCTATAATAAAAGTACAAGACACTATAACTTATCCTCCTGCCGATCCACTTTCACTGTGACTCCCTAGAGCATCCAATAGGGGGCTCATTATATAAGTAGTAAGGTTTTATAAGTTGCGTGGGACTATCCATTTGGGGTAGTGTCATATTCTTCTAGGATGCAGAGGGGCATCTGTCGTACGCGTAGGTCTGCTGGCTTTCGGCCCCAAGCTTCCTCGAAGGATGCTAGGTAGTAGATCTTGCTTCGGTAGTTTAGCGTAAGGGATTCAACTCGATCGGAGCAAATCTTACACAGGATTATTTTTCTCGCAGTAGGTAGCCGCTTTTACAGGGTACCAAGACGGTTCGTTTTCGAAAGAGTAGGGTAGGTACGTTTTCCAGAGACACCACCATACCGCGAGCCTAGAGAGGAGTTCCCAGCGTCGCCGCTGGGGGCCCTTCTTCCCGTGGCTAATAGCCAGTTGTGCAGTCAGCTCGCCCATATATACCCAGGGTATACAGCATAGAGAAGTATATATCTGCCTTAAAATATTGGGTGCATATCTAGGTTGGTAGCTCGTCCTCTACAGTAACGATCTGTAAAGCTTTTCAGCAAGTACCAGTTCTGTAGCTGAAAAGCTCCT